GAGGAAATGCCAAAGACCTTAAGATCTATTTTGTGTATCAACTTCCCCCAGGCTTAGATTTGATTTCTCTTATTTTCCTTACACATCTCTATAAGTTGCCTCAGTCACTTTTTAACAATGAGAAGGTTCACAGATAAACACTTGCTGCTTCCTACCTTGTCATTCTGCGAGCTTGGACTCAGGTCATTATTTGTACTTATTTTTGTTCCCAATGTTTTGGGTTAGGCCAAGTGCAAACTCATCAAGGACTTAGTGAAAAACAAGAATGGAAGAAATCCTTGAGTGTAAGGTGAAAAGAACGGCCCATCTTGGTGTAGTGGGGCTGGAGACATGGCTCAGCAGTTAAGAGCAACTACTGCTCTTGCAGAACAGCCAAAATCTGTTTCCAGCACCCACATTTGAAGGCTCAAGGGGATCTGCTGCCCTCTTCAGGACCTTGTGGGGACCTCTACTCACACATGCTTATACCCACACCACCAATATAGACATAATTTAAAATAGACTAAATCTTTTTTTACAACATAAAATTGAAACAGTGTTCTGGCTAATTCTGCAATGTCTGGTTGTTTTAAAATTAATAAGGGAACAGGAAAAAGTTACAGATAATATCCTGTTGAAAGTTGTATGCATTCTGAATCCTGAGGACTCAAGGTTTTATGAAGGCCCAGTTCCATAAGTTGTGGCCCTGCCAGTTTCCTAGTTGCTGTTCCACTCTGTTTTTGCAAGAGGTCCACCACAGAGCTAAGCTGCTGAGGTCACACCTGAGGGGCATCCACAAGGAAAAGCTTCAATGCTATCCAGCTTCAGGAAAGTATGAGGGTGATGTGGCGATACAGAGTAAGACAATGGCATCTTTTCCAACTTTCTTCAATGACACAAAAGGGTCTGCTTGTTTCCAAGAAACCTGAATCCCCTGGGAAGTGGGTCTACTATGCTCCAGCAGAGGTTCCACACAGAACCCCGAATGAAGCAGATTCCAGAGGAGCTAATCCCTGCAACTGGATCTGTGGTGGAGAGCCTCACAAAGATGAGGCTAGTTTTTAAGTTAGGAAGCGTGATCATTCTTTTATTGCACTTTTAAAAGATTTTTTTTTTTACACATCGCTATTCAAATCTATTAAGAAGTCTGTTTTCTTAGGATGACTGCAGGAAGGAGCCCTGGTGGGGGCACCAAGCCTACCAGCGCTGAAGAGCCTCGACCACCCGCACCCCCTAGAGACGGGTGTCCGTGCCAGGGAAGTCTGGGACCAACAGTGCCAGAATGGGCTGCCCAGATGATGCCAAGGTCCCCTTCAGTGGCGATTCTTGGCATGGTGTTTTCCTGCAGACTGAGATGAGGAGTTGGTTCTTCTGGTTGAGACTTACACTGAAGACTGGTCCCAGACCTTATTAACCCAGGACAATGGGGTTCTCACAGCTCCTGCAGGTAGCTGTCCCCTGCAGCTGTCTTCAAACAACCTCCCAGGGGACCGCTCCCTCCTTGTGCTGAGAATCCCGCCTGGGGACTTCTCACGCTCCAGGGGGCAGCCAGGAGACTTGTCCCTACGCAGCTCTGTCCATCCCTCACGGTCACGGTCACGGTCGCAGTGGGGTGTGCTTGGCTCTCAAGGGTGGCTGGGCCTTCTGGTGGTGCTCGTTGTATGTTGGTGGGCCTCTCTTATTGGGGCTGCAGGAGGTGCAGGGCACCGGGGGGTGGTCAGTGCCAGACTCCTTCCCAAGGTTGTGCCAACATCTAAGTGTTATTAACAAAAACAATGAGTTTTGAAACAATAAGAAACAGTATATTTTAAAATGAAATGGAGATCTTTTCTAAGGTTAAAAACTCATTCAATTTCATGTCTTACAGGGTTTATACTGAGTTCAATATTGTATAACTGTATTAGTTCAACTGTGAACCTAAAAATTTTATAGCCACTTTTGAAAGAGATGTATCTTCCCTCTGGAAATTGTTATTGAGTACATTAAAGCTGTAATGACATGCTTCTAAACAGTAAAGAAAAAAAAGATGTATTTTTTATTTATATATGTGTTTGCCCATATGTATGTATATGCACCACATGCCTACTTCATGGCTACTGAGGGCAAAAGGTGGCAGATCACTTAGATCTGGAGGTACATGATGGTGATCCACCATGTGGTTGCTGGGCACAGAAGGAAGCTCCTGTTCAAAAGCAGCAAGTGCCTTAACCCCCTTGCCATTTTTCCAGCCCCATGTTTGGTGTTTTACAAAGACAGTGAATGTCTACCTTCAATCCTTCTCTTGACCATGTGGACAAAGGAAACATTGTTGCAGCAGAAAGCAGGAAAGCAGCCCTCCTATACCTTGAATCTGCTGAGGCCTCAATTTTGACTTCTCAACCTACAGAAGCATAAGTTAGCAATTTCAGGGTTTTACAATTACCAAAACTAAGGCATTTTGTGAAGATTAGGAAGGGAACGAGATCGCTGGATATGGCTCCATAACACATGTAGGACAAGGGTGGTTTTCTGTCTACAGAATTATAGTTGACAGGAATTTTTTTTTCCTGTGATCATTTTGAACATATCAACCCACTCTCTCATGAGAACCTGGGTTCTAGAGGAGAAGTCTCATGGATGTTTAATGGAGATCATCATGTCATGAATGGCACTTTCTTCCTTTCAGACCCAAAATGTAAGTCACATGCCCTGTAGATATCTGGGAAACAGAACATTTCATCACAGCATCTTAATGTTTTAACAATCACCATCTATTTCCTCATCAACTACAGAATTGCCATTGAAATCAGGAACCAGACAAGGCTGTCCACTATCTCCACTTCTCTTTAACATAGTGCTTGAAACTCTTGCAAGAGCAAAAAG